ACCATTTACGCTGCAAAATTAAAGGACGTATGTTCCAAATAAAAATATCTTAATTTTTTTAGGAAAAGGAATGAGCTTGAGTAGTATTTTAATTAAAAAACAGTTATCTTGCAATTAAAATATAAATGTTTTTAATTTTGAATATAAGTGCATCAACTTTGTTGTTTTACTTAGATTTCTTGACAATATTTTGTATTAAAAGCTTCTAACTTTTTTCTTCTCATGGGAGCCGGTGTAATGTATAATTGTATATCTGCCTGCTATGTACTTCATTGAGAACTAATATACTTTTTGTTATCACATAACGCGATTTGTCTGTGTCCATAGAATGGTGCTTCTTTCCTGGACTTTGTTTCGATTCAAATAAGAATGAGAAATTAAATGTAGCTTCATCAATCATTAATTTGAGATTTCCTGCACTTTTCCACTTTCTGAGAGATTCTTGATTATATATATATATATATATATAAAATTTTAGTTTAGGAGGCTTCTCAACTCACCTTCACTTCACTTCACACGACATGTCATTTTATGGACCAAAATATCACAAAAGCTTTTCATTGAAGAAGGATGCTTTAAATCATAATGACAATGTATAGGAAAAGAAGAAGATAATGTGATAGCAAGAGGAGAATAAGAAAGCAAGAAGAGGCAAATCATCATTAATTATATTTACGGAAATTATTGAATTTATATTTGTATATTTTAATGTATTTGTAGAGATTGCTTACTTTGATTGTTAGTGATAGCCTTAATCACCACCATTTTAGAATACTTTAAAAGAATGCATTTCTTGTATTGGAGAATTGGGTTCCATAGCCTATGAAGGATATGTCTTTGGGTTGCTCTCACCAATTAAGGAGAGTGTATATATTATGATGGTTTCTCCACCGACTCAAGCATGAAAGGAGTGTGGCTTCTAGTAGCAGTTGCTTGTCCAGGGGAAAGCTTTGGCATTGGTGTAGGCTGGTGGAACATAAATATTCTTGTGTCCAGTTTACTTTATAGCTTAGACTTACATTCTTGCATGTTTATTTTATTAAAGATTTACATATATACCATATAAATCTTATGTATTTATAAATGTAACATCTAAATAAAATTTTTCTTTATATAAAATCTAAATATTTAAATCAATTCAAAAATATCACTAACATTTACTTTCAAAAGAGAAAAAATGCACGTTTTCATGCATACATTTTGATCTGATTGAGACATTAAAGTGTTGTACAAGGAAACATCAAAGTTTGGTCATAGATATGTAAATACAAAAAAATTGTATAGTATGTATGTAAATCCCTCTTATCTTATTATTACTCTGCTTTTCTTTTTCTTTTTTGGGTGACGATGCAATTGTGCTTTTAACTCTTTAATTTATTTTCATGCTTTTCTTTGTTCTTCATATAATTGATGCATCTTGAAAGTAAAAATAGCAAAGTAAACGAGTGGAAACTACAGTAATACGAAGATAGGGGTTGATTTTGTGATTATCTCTTCAACAAGATAAGAAAAATACATGTGATCTACTATTTGAGAGGTAGATCAGTTTTCCAACAAACCTTAGGCACGCTAGGAAACTCACAAAAAAAATCAACATAAAAAATAAATTGCATAAATCAAAATAACAACATAGTTTGCCCTAAATTGGCTCCCCTAATTCCATCCCAAATCAGCCACATTTCCCTAAATAATTCTCTCATAGATTTGAATGCAATTTAGATCTCTTTCCCTAAATAATTCCCTCCAAATTTTAATTAAAAGTTTCCTGAACAGCTATTTTGTTGGGTTTGATTGGCCATAGCAAGGCGGTTGGCTCCATTACTCTCCATCAGGGTTTCTCCTAGGTGCTAAATGAGATTGGTGAGCACAAACCTTCAACTTTCCAACCTTAGTGAGTTCTTCCATTAATCATCTGTATCATGGTCATGATCTTTGTGAAAGGCACAATATCATGATGTGTCCCTAATGTGTGTGTTCGCCTTCAAGTGTATGGTTTGGATAGCCTCAATAAATTCAGCCATTGACACTCACAATGGAGTGTAGGTGAGATAAGTGGAGGCATGATATGTTCTTTTCTCATGATAGGGGCAAGTGGCCCAAGGGAGCTCTTCTACCTAGGCGCAAGTGGTCTTACAATCCTTAGCAGCCAAGATATCATGGGCACTTTTTGGTCCTCTGGGTGATGATAATCTTGTAGGATGTTAAGTCTTCTATCCCTTCTCTCCTTAGATAGAATTCTTTCTTAGACTCTCCCTTGCTGTCAATCTCTTCGATGGGCGAGTTTATCTGGATGAGTGGTTGTAAAGGACTCAATCATTCTATTTTATTCTTCAGCATTGACATGATTGTTGTTAAGCAATAACAATTCAATATTTTTCTAGACTGTTGCAAGCTGAGTGCCTAACAAAAAAGGGCCCTCCCATAATCCTTGGGTTAGGGCAGCCTAGGAAACTACAAGCTCCAAATCCTTCACCTCTAGCATTTCTTTCTAAACCTCACGATGAAGTTCATCGAAGACTTTCCCGGTTCCTACCTTATTTTAAGGGAGCTCGTGAGCTCTTTTGGGGCTTTTAGGCACCGCCAAATTGAGTTTAAAGCATTCTCTTGAATTCCTAAAAAGAAGTGATGACTCCCATTAGAAGGCGCAAGTGAACCATCTCAAAGCTTACTCCTTGAGTGTCGTGAAGAACAACCAACACTTAAGGGCATCATCAATGTCAAGTTAGTAAGTAATTGATTCAAAGGTTGTAATATGGTTAAGTGGGTCAAATCTCCCCTATAAGACTCCAAATGTGGCACCTTAAACCTTGGATGGGCCCGTCCTTTGCTATCTCCATTGAGAAGAAATTGGTTAGTTTAAGTTCTCCTCTTTTAACTTGTCAAGCTGGCAGGTTGTACTCTTTGTCACTCATCGCCATGCGAGTGGGATGAGGAATAGGAGTAAAAGTTAGTGCCCTGCCATCTAGCCTCCTGCAGCAAATTGCTAAGTCAAATGACCATTCAAATGCTCCCCCACAGCGAGCGCCTAGGCAACCGTCTTAGGACATCTTGGATCATTTTTATTAACCTTTCTTCCATCTCCATGAGATCCTAGTGAGTGATGTAACTGGGGTTCTCCATTTTCACAAAAAATTCAGTGTTGTTTTTCCATCAAGTTGAGTCTGTCTTCTAGTAATTATTATGAATCTATGCTCACCACACCTATAAGAATGTTGGATCCAAATATGTCTATAGGTGCCCAATGTTTAAAATTGCGTATTCGGGTATTGAGGCATTTTTCATTCGTGAGGCGAGGCGTAAGCCTCAAGGCGTTTTGAGGCGTAAGCCTCAAAATCAAAAGATTGCGTAAACATAAAATGATAAATTTTTTATATACTAATGGATGAATAATATAAAACATAAAAAAACATGAGATATGAAGTGAAATAAAAATATCCCAATAATAAGACAACATGAAATGTTGTTCAACTAAAAATTCTATATTTCCCAAATCCCAAAAATCTTTTCATTAACATATAATTCCAATTTCCAAAAATAAATAGCAATGACATATCACATAAGAACTCATAAGTCATCAGCACTGTCATCACTAAGGGGTTCTTCATTTGAATCGTCATTATGATGAACGGCTCTCTCCCCTTCCTCCTCTCCTATAGAGTTTCGGGCATTTACATCAAGATTTATGTAAGTTTTAATATATATAGCATGAGGCGTAAGCCTCATGCCAGTGAGACGAGGCGGGTCTCAAGGCGGGCCTCAACTAAGTTGAGGCGCAAGCCTCATAAAAAAGACTTGAGGCGTAAGCATCGAGGCGTTTTTTACTGAAATTGCGCAAAGGCGGGCCTCAAGGCGAGCCTCATATTGCGCAATTTTAAACCATGGTGATACCTAACCGTACTAGCAAGAAAGCACTACGAGTTTTTAACCTGGAGACCTATGAGAATGAAGGGGGGAGAGAGAAAGAGAGAGAGAGATAGAGAGAGAGAGAGAGAGAGAGTACGCAAGCTGGCTCGAGTATAGGCAACATTGAGTATAAAGAATGCCAAAAAATCCAAAATATTCCTCTTTACCTTTTATTTATAAGGATATGAGTGCTACATTGATAAAATGAATAAAAAGGTACAAGACTAAATGATTCTACAGACTACCCTACACCTGTCGCACTCTGGCTGTCTAGAGAGGGTAATCTTCCTCAAACCCAATTTGATTGGCTTTGGAAAGCTCAGTAATGTAGAGTGTTGATGGGCATGTGAACATAGATGAGTTGCGTGGTGAGTCCTCAATGCAGAAGGGCAAGGTGGGTTGGCGCCTTGGAGTCACTAATGAACTGCGTAGGATCTTTATAGGGGCCTGGCTGAGAGAGGTAAGTGAGCTTAAGTTGCGGGACTTACTTTCAGGCTAGCTTACTATGAGAGGGAAAGATGGGTCTTCGAGTAGGCACTTTCCCTATAGTTGTAGTGGTGAGTAAGGTCAACGGTACTCCTCCGTGAGCGATTAAGGTGAATAACGAGGGTCCTCGGCTATGGGAGTAGGAGGAAACTCCCCATTGAGCCCATAATGGAGCTGGACCCCATGACTTCAAGATGAGTTCTCCTGTGGACTCACAAAGTTCAAATACTTCAATCATAACCCACCAACTAGCATATGCCAATATAGAAATTAAAAAATAAAAAATAAATCAGTTCTGACAAACAAAAACTTGTGCTTCCTACTATTGTAACTATTAGGGGTTCAGTGATTGTAGCGGCAAAAAAATAACAGATATTTAAAAACAAAATCTCATGATATATTTAATTTTATCAACTTTAAAGATGTGAAAAGCCTTGCCTGTAGTATATTTAATCACTAAGGGACATCAACAGAAGTTGCAACCATAGTCTCACTAAACTTGATTAAGAATTGCTTCATGTGATTGTCCCTGCATCCTTCATCCCTTGCATAAACATCAATGTCTCCGTAGCACTTCCTCCTCATGCATATCCACCAAGCATTGCATTCCATCACGCTTCAAGTCTCCTTCTGAAATCAACCATTTCTAATGCCTTCCTTGCTTCAATTAAAAGCCCTTGTTTCGAGTACAATTCAACCAGTCTGCAACCCACATAAGGATCTCCATCCACTCCAATCTTGATGGCAATCACATGGACCTGCTGACCACCCTCGTAGCCTTCCTTCTCCTCATTTGCTCCCACACAAGCTGTGAGGATGCTTGCGAGCATCTTGCATCTCCTCCTTCTGCTCTTGTGATAACCCCCAACTCTTATTCTTCTTCTTCTTCTTCTTCTTCTTCTTCTTCTTCTTCTTATTTGCATCTCCCTAAAGATCAATAGTGCCTTCCTAAAGCAACCGACTCTATTGTAAGCTGACACTATGCTCACCCAAGCAGCCTCTTCGCAATCATCAGGAGAGGCCAACATCAGTTGCAAAGATAAGTCTGGGCACTCCAACATTGCATAGAAACGGATCAATGGAGCCATATACTCTATGAAGGAAGAGCAGCCTGTGAGCTTGACAACCAGCCCATGGAGCTCCCTAGCCCGAACACAAGTCCATAGAACAACTCTGAATCCCAAGGGATCCACCAACCACCAATCTTCTCTTCCCGGGTGCATGCCCACAAACAGCTGCAGTGCCCCCAGGTCATCGTTATTCTCGGAGAGAGAGGACATGGTGATGACCCGGGAGATGGAATCTCTAAGAGGCATTTGATCGAACAGTTGTTGAGCAAGTTTCGCCTGATGGCAGGCCGCGTACATGACCAGCAAGCGATTGGCAAGGAAAAGTCCGGCAGGCTGGCGCAGTAGAGAACGGCCGCCAGTGAATCTACGCCTGATGTGAGCGTGTACGGAGGATCCCTGAAGGAAATCGCGGGACCGGGCGCATTCCTGAAGAAGGTAGGCGTAAGTGTCGGCCTCCACCGGGAGCTGGAGGCCGTCCATGAGACGGAGCACGTCGCTTGCCGAGGAAGAGGAGTGATTGCCCCTACTTTCTGAAATCGCTGGGCTAGGAACGGATTCGGCTATGTAGGTGGATGGAACTGGAAGGCAAAGTCGGATCGGCCTTTGCAGCAGAGAAGGTAGGGGTTGATGATCCTGGACTAGGGCAAGACATTGAAATGTTGAAGATTGCCATCTCGAAGGTGTCTTTGAATGAATGGAATGTAGGAAGATGATGCAACTTGTTTCACAGCGGCCTTGTTGGAGAGGCATTGAAGAAATCACTTTTGGATTTACCATTTTATAAGAATTTTGCGCTAACTGATAATTATCGCAAGCGAGAATCATAAATATCATTTCATGGAGAGTTTCAGTCCTCTGATAATTAAATCAGGACATCAAATTAACTACTCAAAATAAATGTTTTGACAGAAAAACAGAGGCTTACTTGCTGCATCAAATCAAATTCCGAGTAATAATAAGCCTTTTTTTTTTTTTGGAAAAATTAGAGATAAATATGCTCAATTTCATTTCAAAAATGAATATTACAAGAGAATAACAACATATTTGTAAGAAAAATAAAGAAAAACTTACAAATCTAAACTAACTAACTTCTTTTATACAAAAGGAGAACAAAAGTAAAAAACAGATAATAATCACACAACTAATCCACTAAAATTGCTCAACAGGCAACTAAAGAGAAGTAACGGGGAAGATCTGCTAGATAAAATGCCCAACTGGAAACAAGCATCTTCCAACCGAATCTACAGAACCAGTCCTAAGCGACCAACCGAAATCATCATATCAGAATAAAGGCGATAAGTTGCTCCCATAAAATCTTGCAGTCCACCAAAAAATAGTCAATCCATCACCGACAAAAGAAAAGAAGATCTAGGACACCACAAGAGATGCAAACCAACAAAAGAACAATTTTCCACCAGACCAAAAAACCTGCAAACAAAGCCAACCAACATAACCAGAGAAAAAAAAAAAGAGACCACAATAAGAGCAACTCAAAACCACAATAAGAAAACAAGCCAACCCCAAAGAAGAGTTGTGCCCAAAGACACGTACAACAGCCTGGACTAAGAAAGAGGGAAAACCTTCAACCGACCCTGCTAAATTTCTTTGGTTGCAAGATTAGACTATCTAGATAAAATCAGGTTGCCAATCTCACCTTCCAAAAGAAGAAAAATAGAAGGTGCCCAAACATCATGTTCCAACTAACAAAAAAATAAAAATAAAAAACAACAATAAGCAACACAATTAAACAGAACAATAAAAAATTAAAAAAAAATCAACCCAACAAAAAAAGAACAGAAAGATGCTGGAGATTGAAAAAAAACCTCAATCAAATAATAAGATGTTGTAGATTTGGAAAAGCAACCCAATTAAGAACTTTAGATCTAACAGAAACCTGATATCCTTGAAAGTTCAAGAAGGTTGTGAGACCTCAAAGAACAAGCATGAGGCTAACCAAGAGAGAAATTGAATGGGTAATTTAAAAATTAAAAAAAAAACTTTTTATAGCTTTTCAATATCTGAAAATAGACAATTTAATCCCCTAATGCAGTAGCAAATTGATTTCACAATAATAGAAAATCAGAGTTTGTCAACCACAGTAAATCATAGAAAAATAAAAGTGTAGAATAATAAGAACAAAACACACAGAGATTTATAATAGTTATGTTCAACCTGACCTACATCCACTCTCTGAAAACCTTCTTTCTAGGTATTGCACTAAAAGTAGTGTCTCTCTTTTTCCCCCACAGCAAGGCGGAGAAGCCTTTACAAAATCTTTTTCACTAGCTCGATAAAGGTAGAGAACTTGAAATCCTTTTTGACCACCCTCCTAATGAAGGCAAAGAACTTGAAATTCTTTTTCTCCCTCATAGAGATGGCAAATAACCAATAATCAATTTTCTCCCTCTTGGAGAAGGTAGGCAACCTATCATTAGTGCTATAAAATGTCTTCCCAGAGCCTCCAAAGGATCAAGGAAGAAACTTGAAGAAGACGAGGAAGAACCTTGATTGGAGAAACCTTGTAAATCCCTCACAAATCACCATTACAAAAAACTTTCTCTCTCTTCTCTCATCTAAAGCTCTCCTAAGCACCTCTTTTGTCCCCCTTAGAACACTTTACAACAAAAGTCTTTGAAACAAGACTATGTGAAAGCTTAAATAGAGAGCCACTAAAAAAACCCTAAATTTTAATTTGTCGACTCTATTCGTCCAGTATGATCCAAGATCATCCTGTAGTACTAGTTCAAAGTACTCTTGTTACTACTATATAAGGAAATAAACCATATACAATCAGTTCAATGAGATGCACTAATCGTCCAGGATGATTAAGAATATCTTCATATATGATTAGAACAGAGCAGCCTTTATATACAGTATGAAATGTAATGCCCTATACGATCAATTCAAGAGATGTACTGATTGTCCAGTATGATAGGTGACAATGTAAATATCATCCCATGTAGAGCTCGGTTCGTACAATATGAAATTGGAGGTTCATCCTATATGATTATTTGAAGACTATGACAACGTCTAGGATGATAGAAGAAGAGTTAATTATCATCCCATTCATCGCTCGAGTCATACAGTACGATCAACCCCAATCATCCTGTATGATTTAATTGAACAAAATAACCATAATTATTCCTCTATTCATAGGATCAATTTAAACATGATTTGTCATGTATCGTACAATACAATGCATATTATACGGTACGATTAGACACAAATTTTGAATAATAAAATATTACCTAAATTGTTTTTGTTAGCTATTTTGCTTAGTATAACAAGTCATCATATACGATAGGGATCGTACAGTTTGATGAGTTTAATCAATCTTACTAAGCACATGTGCCCTAATTAGGATTTTCTAGTTAACTGATCATCCATTACGATATAAATCGTAATGTATGATTAGTTCAAAAAATAATTTTTTTCTAAATCACCAACTCACTCTCTTGAGTATGTGTGTGTGTACAAAGTTACTTAGCTTTAGGATCTACCATAAAACATATTTGAGTCAAGAAAGGTAAAAAGTACAAAAAAGAATAAAAAATACATACTTTATTCATAGTCTATCCAGTCTTGAGCTGGTCAAGGTTACAAGTGAGTTGTAATTCTAAAATGTCATTGAGCAGGGCAAAACATATATACAATATATTCAAATAGAATAGTAAAAAATTCAATAATATTTATTATTATCAAAATTATAGGACTTGGGTATAGATTTGCAACAATCCTTACAAAATGAGTCCATATTACCAACCTTCTTATCCTTCTTTCTGTCATTTCTTTTCTTCTAGATGAAATAAATGGCGCATGGTCTAAGCATAAAGAAGTGTTACCCATGCACAGACTTTGAAATAATCTTGAATGAAAATTCACATTCAAAGAATAAATGACTATGACTTTCAACCTCTTTATCATAAAGGATACAGTTTAACGGCACATAAATGTTTCTTCTAGCTAAAAGATTGGCCATTTTTAAACGTTTTATAATAGCCATCAAAGCAAAACAAGAGATCCTCAAGCCATACCTTTTATGCCAAATATAATAAAACCAATCTACTCTAGAAAAATTATTATAAAAAGCATTATAAATTTTTTTGAAAGTAGGTTACTTTACCTTATCCCAAGAAATATAATATAAAACCTAATTTAGATTAGAAATGCTTGAAATATCCAAAGAAATATATTCTGAAATAAGCATAAGAACTTCCCATGTATCATTATTAATCCAACATCCAACAGTCCTAAAATTATGCAAACTATCCACATTAGAAATAAAAACTTCATGAAGAGCTTTCCCTTTAAACCAAGGATCCTAATAAAGAGATAAAGGATAGTTATACGAAATATTATCTTTAATATCCCTAACAATAACACTAATATCTTTCCTGAATTCGGAATCCGTTTGCGAGCAAGGCTTCCAACAAGATATATATTTAAATTTAGCCCAAACAGCTAAATGACCCAAATTTTTAACAATATGCCAAATAAGGGAGCATTCAAAAGAAAAACCTTAAAGCCTCCAAATCTAGAATCCCTAAACCACAAACCTTTTTAGGTTTGCACACAACCTTCCAAGCTATCATATGAATATTTCTGATAGCAACTTCACCATAAAATAAAAAATTAGAACAAGATTTCTTAATAAATTTGAGACCAATTTTAGGCAATGAAAGCTATCTAATCCAATAAGAAATAATATTAGAAAGAGCGAAGTTAATGCATTGTGCTTTTCTAGCAAAAGATAAATTCCTGACTTTCCAACCAGCAAGAAGAGCATTAATTTTGTTAAGCAATGATAGGAAATCCAAAATTAAAAGCCTTTTACAAGAAATAGGCAAACATAAGTATTTCAAAGAATTCTGAGTAATAGAAATATCCAAAATCTGACCAATGCCATCGGCAATATTACAACCTTTAGAAAAAATGATATTTTTTCTTGATTAACCTTTAAACCAAAAACCTCATAAAAATAATCAAAAATATCCTTTAACTTTTTAGCATTCACAATAAAAGATTTACCTAAAATAGGCAAATCATCTGTATATAATAAATGAGAGAAAGAATGCTCACCAGAATTAATACCATCAAAATTAATAGCTTGAGACTTATCTTCAAGATGATTAGAAAATGTATCAATGATAATACATTAAAGATAAGGATAAAGAGGAAAACCTTGATGAAGCCAAGAAGAAGAACTAAAGAACCCATTAATAGATCCATTAAGGATAATATATAAGAAAATGTAATCAATGCAACCTTTAATCAAAAAATAAAAACTTGAGGAAAACCTTTTGGAGCCATCCTATTAAAAAGAATATCTCTCAAAACAGTGTCAAATGCTTTGTGAATATCCAATTTTTAGCAAAAGAACTGATCTTTACTTTTGGTATTAAAACCTCTTAATAATTTAGCAGCAAGTATGATATTATCCCTAGAGATCCTTTTTTTAATAAACCCATATTGACAAACATGAATAATAAGAGGCATAACTTCTTTCATTCTAATAACCAAAATCTTTGCAATCATTTACAAAAAGTATTACATAAGAAAATAGGCTTAAAATAAAAAAAATTTTGAGAAGAATTAGCATTCTTAGGAATGATAATGATAGCCATAACTTTAGGTACCTGAGATAAATAACCAGTTTTAAAGAAGTATAAAAGAACATTACAAAAACTAGGCCCAATAATATCCCAACTTTTCTTAAAAAAATTGAAGGTAAAACCATCCAGATCCTGAAAGTTCGTTAGGGATGTTAGGCCCTATAG